GTGCAGTAATGTGCTCATTGAAATGTTTTAGCAGGTTTTTCAATCTTAAGTACAGTATAGTCAGAAAGAGCTTGCACAAACAAGCTGGATGCAGACAGCAGTGTGTGCTGTTACAAAATGCACAGCAATATCTGCAATGTTCAGATTGTATATAAATTATCAAATTTTGCAAAAGTACAAAACCATCCAGTGATCTGACATTTTCAATAATCCAGCACTGCTGTGATTCTGTGGATGCCAGATTAAGACTTCTACTGTAATATGAATATATATGAAACAATACCATTAACAGCCAAATTTTGATAATCTCTATGATTACATAAATTGTGTTCCCTTAATCTAAAATACAAAGAATCTGTATATCCTTGAAGTGTAGGCCAAGAGAAATTCTTATAACCTGAAAATAAATAACAACAACATAATTTTATGTACTGATTATTATCTTGTTTAAATAAAATGGTTACCTGTTGCAAATGATGTTTCAGGCCAGTCAAGTTCATTTCCAAGAATGAATTCAAGATGTGTAAAATATTTCTAAAATCAAATGAAAGGTTTGTATATAGTGTAAATAATCAGAAAGATTAACTAGTCTTTCTGAAAAATTTATGATTTTTAAGAAAGAATAATTATTTCTTATCTGTTTAATCTGAAAACAAGAACATTTTTACTCTAAAAATAATGAAATAATACTTAATTTAGATATGCTTGTTGGAAGATGACACCATTTCATAATAAGAGTGTTGTACTGTAATACTGTATAATTCATTGTGAAAACTTTGGCAACACTAACAGGTAGGTTACTGAAATAACACTTTAGTACAATTTACCAAACAAAAATCTAAATGAAGGAAACGGGTGTCTGTAGGATACCTTTGTATGCTCTTTTAATTTGTGTATTGCCGGATGGCTGAGTGGTCAAGGTGGCAGCCTACCGCTCTGGGGGACCCGGGATCGGGTCCAGACGGATGAAAAAATCGCTAGAAATTTTTCGGGGGGGTGGTCCGTTCGGATATATCAGGCTTTTTTGAAAAGGTGGCAACTTAGTGTTGCCACCTTTTCAAAATCGCTGACCCGGACGGCAGGTGAGATTTGTTCCTGACGCATGTGTATGTCATTTTGCAATGCGAAGAATAATGTGCAGTGCCTGCCGGTTCTAAATTAGTTACGGACTTGGGTAGGAGTAACGTAAGTAACCTAAATTAAGAAAGAACAACTACAAATGAGTTAGCTCTATTGACTATTGCAGACGTGTACGAATACGAATTGTACAAGCAAAAAAAAAAAGTCGACAGGTTGCGCACGATATTCCCGAACAAAAGTAATAGTTCGCCCGGACGATTCCCGTACTGTCCGGGTGAAAACCGGGTGGGTGGTAATACTAGTCGGGCTCCGCCCCGCTGTGGGCCTGGCCGAACCCATAATGGGCTTGCTTTTTTAAAAAGGCTTTTAGTGCCCACAGGGCAGAAAGAATTAAAATAAAAAAAGTATGGAAGAAGAAGCCTGACATCGGGAAAATATTTAAAGATATTAATTTGAACACATTTGGATTAGAAATAGAATTGGAGCAGGAAGCCGATGCAGTGCCGGCCTGAGGCAAGTTTTAGGATGGAGCGAGATCCTATTATGGCGCCCCTCTTGGTTGCCCCTAATTTATACCCTTTAATTAATTTTCTTTACCATTGAGGCGCCCCCTAGGACTTAGCGCCTGAAGCGGTTGCTCCGTTCGTCCTATGGTAGGGTCGGCTGTGAGCCGATGTCGCGGCGTACTTCCTAGACATCTCGATCAAGGTAAATGGAAACGCTGTCACCAAGGGTATTTACGGGAAGCCTACATATAATGCAATGTTCATACCGTGAGTCTCCCACGACCCAGTGAGCTATAGCAGCATTTAGAGCTCTCATAAAACGAGCTTATACGCATTGTAACGATAAGATAAGAAAGCTAGAATATATCGAGCAGATGGCTCGTCAGGTTGGGGTCAAGAGAAAAACGATAAAGAGAATGATATACAAATGGAGAATTCAAGACGCAGAGACAAAAAGAAATGATATGCGGAAAGAATTTGCAATTGTTGAGTACATAGCAACCCTCCGAAATGTTTATTAATTTTGCACGTGTCGTGAGATATTATATAATACGTAAAAATAACAAGCACGCCCGTTTTTTTAAAATTTGCGTATTCCAAAATTAGAAGCTTTAAAAAACCGTTTTGGAATATGAACGACTTTGTTCTTTTTGTGAAATTTTAAATTTTATGTATTTTCCTGAAGATAGTCAATTAAAAGGACCGAAGACGTTAGATTAATAAATGTAAGTTACTGCATATTTAATGATTACGGGTTTGTTATTGTGAGGGTGCAGTTATGGAAAGGATTCAAAACGTTACTTTTAAGTTTACAACATTTCAAACATTTGTTTAAACTTAGGCTATCTTCAGCAAATAACAAACTTTTTAAGTGGGTTCATTAAGTGGAAAAAATTTAAAAGTTTAAATGCTGAAAATATGCCTAAATTTAGGCCAAAAACAGTACATATGTTAGTATTTTTGTAAGTAATATATATATTTAAAAAATTCGCTATTTTTTAAAATAAATAATAAATTGATTATTTTAAAGCATGTTACTTTTAAACAGAATAATGTTTTATCACATGACACAAAGAATAACTCAGTGAAAATTAAGAGTTTAATGGGACTGGCAGGAAAGGAAATTTGCTAATAATTCTCTAAATTTTAATTTTAATTTTACAAAATAGAAAAAATATTTGAAAACAATAAGGAAGTTAAAAATCATAATTGAATCAAAGTCTGGAAAAATATTTTGTAAGATTGCATGAAATTGCTCAGATTAAAGAAAAAGATTATTGGTGGATATTATTTTTTGAAAAATTAAAGTAGTTTTGAATGTTAATTGTTTGTATTTTACTTTAGAAATGCATAAATTTTCTGGATACTTTACTATAACAGATGCATATTATTTTTCTTAAATTTTAATGAGAAAGTCTAGATAATTTTTCTTCTGGATTTATAATGTAATTTAATAAAATTTAATTTACTTTTAAAAATTCTCTAGCAGTAAACCATTGCAAAGGAACATGTAAACGAGCACCGACTGAATCTCCTATGTATACAAGACCACGTGGATTTGTTCTTTCACAAAGCTCTTTTTCGTATGGTTCACCTGTAATTTTATCTGTACCCTGCAATGACAAATCTTAAGTTATAGAGAACTAAATTATAATTTATGAGTAATTTTTATATCACTAAAAGCTTTTTAAAACTATTAATAGAGTAAAATGACATTTAAAATTTATTTTAATTAAGAAATAATTAAAACATTACAGAACCATTCTAAAGATTATAATATGTGATAGTAGTGATTAGGATGAAACAACTATAATTAATTGGAAAAATTAGTTTCTTAACAGATTTGTGTGTATAAAAGAATAAATTTTAAGTTGAATGAGTTTTTTAATGACAAACTTGAACTTTGAACCGGAAAATATATTGTTACTCACCCATATTCCATTACAGTTTTGAATCAATATCTCTATCATAATCGGCAGGTCTAAGAAGAAGCACAATTGATAAAACACTGATAAATTAACTAACAATATTAAATATGAGTGTTAATTTTGAATAAATTTGGTTACCTGCGACCTGGTTGAATATGTTTAGTCAAGTCATTGCAGTCTTTTCCTCTCCAAGAACTACCTCTCCAATCCTAACATAATTATTAATTAAATTATTTAATTTTGAAAGTAACAAAATAAAGCTCTAAAGTATAGAAGTTACAAAGTTATTTAATTGTTGAAGCTTTAAACTATACAAAATTTAATAAGAGTTTTGTTTAAAAAGTTTTAAGTATCAAATTTTTTACAATATTTTAAAAATAATTTACATTTAATAATTTACCTAAATAGTACTGTAACTATCACCATCCAGATCTATGAGTGGTTTGGCTTGATTTAAAAATCTATTATAAAATAATATAATTTTTAAAAGACAAATTTTAATTTTAATGAAAAAATGAATTTTATTATTACCTGTCAATCATATCACACAAAAACCGTAACACTTCATGATCACAAAATGAATTTGTACTTTTAACATTTAACTACATGTTAAAAAAAGTACATTCAAATTAATTACAGTAATAGATGATGATTAAAATGTAAAAGTTTTTTTTTAACCTGTAAAATATTTTGCAAAGTTCTAGAAGCTTGTTGAGACTTCATAACAGCTGGATACATTCCTTCCTATAAATGTTTTATTTGTTAAATTCAAAATATTAAAAAAGTAAGAATAACAAGTTATAGAAACTAACTTTAGGTATAGGAAAAAGATGGTAAAATTCTTCACACTTATCAACACGACATATGCCCACACTATAACAAATTACATCTGGAGATTCTTTCCTCACCATTCTAAAGGTTTTGAAACAATGTTAAAGGAAAATGAAAATCTAAATTTAGTCTAATAAATGATTACTTGTGACATTTTTTCACTCTTTCCGTCCTGTGGGCACTAAGAGGGCCTCTTTTTGCAAGCCCATTACGGGTTCGACCAGGCCCACAATGGGGCTGCCGGGTAGTGAGGGGCGGGGCCCGAAAAATTCCTGGGGATTTTTCGACCCGTTCGGAGTCGAACCCGGGTCCCCCAGAGCGGTAGGCTGCCACCTTGACCGCTCGGCCATTCGGCCGCTACTTGTGACATTGTCACAATGCTGGGCTGCAATTTTTGATAATTTTACTTTAAAAATCGCGTGACTTCCTGCTCCTAAGCTTTCAACACCTAGTCTTGATTTTCATCTAACTTTGCTTTTGGGATCAATGAAAGTCAAAAGACAACTGGAATCTATAGGTCTGCAATTTGAAAATTGCGTCTCAGTAAGTTCTACTATATTCGCTAAATATTTCTTCAGATTTAAAACAATGTATGCAGAAATAAATTTTTGAATAAATGAAAAATTTTAAAAAGTACACTACGTGCCTATTAAAAATAATTGTACAAAAAATAAAGTAGGCCGAAAAAATAAAAAAGTACTTGTTTTTTTATTATATTTTTGTATTACCTTCAATGCCGATTATCTTAAAAATCAAAATACAGTACGCAAGTCTATTATTTAGTTTAAGAATTTTTTATAAATAGAAAATTCTTACTTGGGTATTAAAATAGGACCCCATCTTTTCACTAAAATTCGACACAACTGCGCAAATGTAGTTGGAAAAACGTCACAGATATTGGAAACGACATCAGTTATAGTTTTAGATTCTACTTCAGCAATTTGTTCCAATAATCCAACAGCAATAGTACAAGCTAAAAAAATAAGTAATAAGTTATTTAAAAAATATGTATACAGTATACTTACATNTTTACAAAAAAGTTATTTAAATTATAAATACAAAAAAATTACAGCAATTGTATATAATGATAAAGTATATAGCAACATTTACAGAACCAATTTCTGGCATATAATACAAAAAAACAAATACTGTACAATCATTTTTCAACTCCTGAGTTCTTCAGGTTTGACAGAATGGTTACCAGATGAAATGTTATTAGAGCAAACATCTATTTGTAAAAATTTTTAAAACAATGTCATTTGAATAACCTTTCAAAATTATAAACATAAATTTACTGTTACATTGGCATTGTCATGTGCATAATCATTCAATTAACCAATACAGGTGGTGTCAAGCAGGGCTTGACAGGCCATTGAAAATGCCATTTCCTCCTTAAAATTTATACAAGATGACTCAAAGTTAGCTTTAAAACTTTTTATGGTGTCCAACCATCTGAGAAGCTCTGTGTGTGATGTTATGAAGAGAAGTTTGACCCATGTGAAGACCACAACTATTTTCAGATCTGCTGTATACAGAGAGGGATGTCGATGTTCTAGCATGTCTTTGAGTCATCTTGTATAAATTTTAAAAAGAAAATGGTGTTGTCAATGGCCTGGCAGGCCCTGCTCAACACAACATTGTAGTGGTTAATTGAATGATCATTATGGCAACAATGCCTATGTAACAGTAAATTTTTGTTCATAATTTCTAAAGGTCATTTGAATTACATTGTTTAAAAAATTTTTACTAGTAGATGATTCTTCTGATAACATTTCATCTGATAACCATTCTGTCAAACCTGAAGTATACAGGAGTTGGAAAATGTTTGTGCAGTGTTCGTTTTTTTGTATTATACACACCAGAAATCAGTTCTCTCTGTTGTTACATATATCCTGGTGTAGGGTGGTGTATTTTTTTGATAAATTATGTTTAGAATGATTTAATGTCCACCTTGATTACCAAACAGTATTTGAATCATTTCATTATTTGGATTAGCTTTACCAACAATATTTCTTTCTACTAGTTCTCTCCAAATTACTTTTGTAATAAAAGGATGTAATTTCTGAAAATAATATAAAAAGATTTCACTATAATTTAATATAATTTTTCTACTAGTCAAGATAAATCTTACCTGTAAAGGATGAAAGCTAAAACTCAGTTCTAACATTTCCCATATTAAATATCCTGATTGTTGCCATTCACACATTACTAAGTGATTAATACAAATAATTATTGTTAAATATAAATATAATTTTAAAATTTATAGCAGATAACATTTTACCTTGATGTAATGGATTATGCATATAATGGAGTTTAAATGACTTGAATTTATATGAAACACTTATTTGTTTTAAGACATTGGAAAGTTCCTCTCCTCTCTACATAAAAATATAAATTTTATTTTCAATAATTGCTTATTATATTAAGATAAGATTTAAAAATTTACCTTTGAAGTAGCTGTTCTTATAGTTTCATTTTTATTCAACCATTGATAACACGGACCAATTTTCATAAAATTAAACCAATTATATAAGTCGTCATAAGTTACATCTTTATTTACTTGTCCTAGAGGATGTAAATGTTTTGCCATTGTAGGATAAATAAAAGAACCATTTACTAAACCCATTAACACAACATGACTATTGGGAGGTAATGTATTTTCCTGTTGAAAATTTAGCTTTAAAAACCAAGAAAATTAAAGTATTTATATTAGAATAAAACTTAGATTTTACCAAAAAGTTTAGACTTTTTAATACATTTTTCTTAAATTTTTCTGGTTTAATTAAGTCATCTAAAGAATTCATATAACTAAAAAAAACAATTGTTATTTATGAATGTTAATTTCTTAATTTCAATCAGCCATGATTTTTTTAATGAAATTTAAAAAATAAATTATATAAAACATATTTAAATGATTATATTAAATTTAAGTTTTAATATGATATAGAGTTAAATTTATAATTTTATTTAATTTATGAAAATGTCTTAACTAATTTATATTTAATTTATAGAATTACTTGCACTGAACAGATATCATTTACCATCATATCATAGGCAATCACAGGTAATGATGTCTTGTTATGAGAAATTCTACAAAAAAAATAATAAATTGGTTTAGAGAGGATATATAACATTTATTCTAATAAAAACAGTTTTCATGTGTTGTTATATATTCTAGAGAATTAAGTAGATAATGTTATCATTGATGTCTAAACAATTACTTATTTAATCAGTTTTTTAGAGTTAAATTAATACTTGATATTAGGCCTGAAACTTCTTTCATTTAAAATTTTGATCTTTTCCTACATTGTCAGAATAAATACCCAAGAATATAACCATTTAAAATGGAGAAAAAGTCCAAAAGTATTTTGGATTGTACTTAAATATTTTGGACATTATCTATTTTACAAGAATTTTTGAGCTTAATACTGTATATTGAGTAGTACTGTGGAAGTATAAACTTACTCTTTAATATATTTAATTGTCTCTTCACTGTCTGCTCCTAATAATAATTTTATTGTTAATAATAATTAATCACAATATTAATATAGCAGAAGTTTAATCTGGCATCCTATAATCCAGAATGTGAGGCAATCTGGCTCCCTCTGAAAAGTAGTTAATAATCTGAAATTATCTGATCATCATCCAGCATGGTTTTCTGTGAATCTGAATTTATTTGCACATGTATATTAAGGATTTGGGTGGAAATTGAGGTGAAGATGGATGTGGCTGTGTACACTATTACATATCATCTGTGGGATCAGCAGTGATGTGATCAAGAGAAATAACTCATTACAGCATCTTGTTTTATGGTTTGACACCTTCACTGATGCTTCTCTGTGCCTAATAAATGTTTATGCTACAATCATTAAAGTTGGTGCAAACATGCTGAAAGCTGCTAACAGATTAAGAACAGAAGTAGTGTTTGTGCATGCAAAAACACTTTTAGCAAGCATGGACTCAAAATTGTAGTAAAGTCCAAGAAGTTATGGGCATTTAAAAACTTGACAAGCTTGTCAGTATACTTATAAAATATTTTGGATGACCACTGTAATTGCCAGGAACTGGTTTTTTTAATGTTTGTGTTATTAACCAGAATTTTGAAAGAAGAGGACTTTCCCAAGACAACAACGTCATTCTTGTGCCAAAAGATGCACAGCACATCCCCTCACAGAAACATTGTTATATCATCATCTGGCAGATATTTTCATTGATCCAACCAACAGATTAGTGAGTGAGTACCATTTTTAAATAAACTACAGAGGGACTTTTATTTGAAAGTTGGTTACCTGTGATTGCAATATCATTGAATTTCAATCTGCATACAATGTTAAAATTAGTGTATAATGCTTGCACTAAAGTGGAACAGTGTGAGTTGTTCTGAAAAAGTCACAATAGAAACTTTATGCATAACTTTATGATAAGAAGTTCTATATCAAGCAAAGGGAGAAAGTGCACTTCTCAAATGTTTCAAGAAAATCAAACTTAAAAATCCTGAGAAACTTAAGAGTAAATTTTGTAGAACCTTTTCTTGAATACCACATTGTTTGGAAGTATATATCTTATCCATATTTGTGAGCTTGCTTTGTTTGCCTGTCAATGAATGAGTTTTTTTATTTTGAAACCAATATAATTTTTACATAATTGTAAATTATATTTGGATTTAAGCAATAAGATAAATTAAAAAATTATTAGTATTAAGTAAGTTGATATTATGATTTACTGACACACACAAGAATTCATCTTTCATTGATATTTCTCTGGTTTCTTGTTTCTATTATAAGTACGTTATTTTTTCATAATTAATATTGCAAGCAGACAGTTGAAAGAAAATTATAACATAAGAGTCATAAAATCATAAACTATAAAATAAGTAATTATTTAAATTTTAAAAATAAACTCTAAATTTTTTTTAACAGAGAATGACTCTGGGAGCAGATTTTCAAGGAAGACAAGAAAAATACATTTTTGATAGAAAATGAATGGACAAAGCCCATGATGTTTACAGTTATTTTATGTAAAAATTATTATTTTCAAATAAAAGTTTATTTGACAGGCAAACAGCAATCTCACAAATATGATTAAGCTACATTATAGTTTGAATCATGTGGTCTTTGATGAAAGATTCTGTAAAACTTATAAGTTTCTTGGAATTTAACTTTTTATTTTCTTGAAAATGAGAAGTGCACAATTTTGCCCTTTTCTGAATAAATATTACAGTACAGTATATAGATATGAGTTATTGTGAATGTTGAGTTGGTGCAGTAATGTGCTCATTGAAATGTTTTAGCAGGTTTTTCAATCTTAAGTACAGTATAGTCAGAAAGAGCTTGCACAAACAAGCTGGATGCAGACAGCAGTGTGTGCTGTTACAAAATGCACAGCAATATCTGCAATGTTCAGATTGTATATAAATTATCAAATTTTGCAAAAGTACAAAACCATCCAGTGATCTGACATTTTCAATAATCCAGCACTGCTGTGATTCTGTGGATGCCAGATTAAGACTTCTACTGTAATATGAATATATATGAAACAATACCATTAACAGCCAAATTTTGATAATCTCTATGATTACATAAATTGTGTTCCCTTAATCTAAAATACAAAGAATCTGTATATCCTTGAAGTGTAGGCCAAGAGAAATTCTTATAACCTGAAAATAAATAACAACAACATAATTTTATGTACTGATTATTATCTTGTTTAAATAAAATGTTTACCTGTTGCAAATGATGTTTCAGGCCAGTCAAGTTCATTTCCAAGAATGAATTCAAGATGTGTAAAATATTTCTAAAATCAAATGAAAGGTTTGTAGATAGTGTAAATAATCAGAAAGATTAACTAGTCTTTCTGAAAAATTTATGATTTTTAAGAAAGAAGAATTATTTCTTATCTGTTTAATCTGAAAACAAGAACATTTTTACTCTAAAAATAATGAAATAATACTTA